CCCCAAAACCCCAAAACCCCAAAACCCCATCTGGATTACGAATAATTGAATGATTGAATAATTTATTGTATTCTAGTCCCATGCATTCTCCTTCATCTCAAATTCTTGTTCGAACTCTTCTTTCAATTCCATTCTTTCTTTGAACCCTTCCCAATCAATTTGGAGATCTTCGTCATCAAGAAGATCAATCTTGGTGTAATGCTTGAATAGAATGTCCAGGTTTTCTATATCAGAGAGGTTTATGATTATAAGCATAAATAGTTTTGAATTATGAACTCCAGGGATTTCAATAAATAACCCCTGGAAAATATTTGTAAAACTGGCTAGCTGGAAAATCCTAATGTCGTAATTAAGCCCAGTCGGACATAACGCACTAGCCAGTATAACTGCAATTTATAGATATATTTCCTTTATGGAGGAAATCCTTATTTAATTTTTTTCAATACAAAATAGTAATTTTATTTACCAAAATCAAAGTACTTGATTTGATCTGCTTTAAACTCAAACTTCTTCTGTTCATCACTACTACTATTTGGTGACTTATTCTGCACGTAGAGAAAGTAATGTTTCTGGGTTTCCTTAACTCTAAAGGGATTACAATTTGGATACTTCATTTCTTGTAGTTTTAGGAAAAATAGAGAACCCTCAATTCTAACTCAAGATTGATAAATTATGGACTTCTGGACCTTGGAAGTTGGTTTATTCTTTCTGGACAAATATCCTCTAACAACCCTTTGTATTTTAATCATAGCTTTCAGCTGGTTGAATAAACTAGGCACAAGAAATTCCTTTTGATGGTTGGCTTTCATGAAGATTATTTCATTCTCTTGAAGAAGTTTCGTGCAATGAGTCTTATAAATGCCAGCATCGAGCTTAATCTCTCCCTGTTCATTAATAAATAGTCAATGTTCGATAATTGAGTCTCAAACTTTTACCAAATATTGCTTATTAAGAGAGTAATTTGGCAATAAATATCTATAACTCAGACTTTTGTCTCCTGGTTTCTGAATTGCATCAAATTTTAGCAAAGTTCTCTTCTGTCCTTCCTTAATTTGGACTTTACAGAATACTTTGAAAATATAATAATGATTATCATCCATCCTTTTGACCTTGGTCAAGATATGATCTAAATATTGAAAACAGGATTGTACTTTTCTCAGATTCTTTCTTTTTATTTATAAATTGTTGATTTTTCCTCATCAAAAATCTTCTTATCAATTTTTGAGCTTTGCATAATGCTTGCAAGTTAACCTCCCTTTTATTTTGATATCTAATCTGTCTTCTTTTAGTCGCATTCCTTCTCTTGCCAAATTTGAGATGGGCCTATGGAGGTAGATTTATGATCTTACTCTAATCATAGCTTGGATAAATAGAATTGATCGTTGCTTCTTATCAGAGTCAATAAGAATACTTTGCTTCACTTTTTGGGTATCCTCTGAATTGTTAATATCTTTATGGAGAGGATTCTCATTATCTCCTTCAATAGCCAAACTTATTGGCTGGGATGAAAACATTTTGGATAAAGCAGTCTGAGCTGTATGAGTCTCTTTTAGTTCTTCCTTTTCAATATTCATAAATTTGGTATCACCCTCTGCACTATTATCTCTTTTTAAAGTGACTCCACTTTTAAATAAAGCAAATTGAGGAGGAGCACTATTGACCAAACTCAAAGGTTCATGCTCTGGAACTTGATCTTCATCAAGAAGAAGCATATAGTCACTATGTCCAGTGACTTTTACCTGGATCCTAAATATTAATTTGAAGATAAATACCATGCTTTGCATCAATCAATTATATCAGGATCTTCTTCCGGAAGATCTTGTGACTCAATTAATAAATTCTTCTCTTTGTGTAATGTAAAATCCTTTGAATATATGATAATCCTTTCTTCTTTAAGCGACCTCTTCACAATATACTTGACGTACAAATGGTTTGTATTGTCAGGATCATCTTTCTTACACCTAAAATTACAATAATATTTTCTGACAAAGAATCCAATGGTAGATCCTTCCATCATCTCTTTCCTTCGCTTCTCTTCTCTCAGTAATTTAAGCTTATATCTTCACTGAAATAAAGCTGCTGCTTGAGCAGGAGTAAAGCTGCTTGCTTTCATAAAAATTTGGGCATATTTAGCAATCTTCTTATTTTCATCAAAGTGAGTAGCTTCATCATCTAAGAAATGTTTTTGCATTTTCTTATAATCTCTGATGATATCATATTTTGGGATTTTATATCCAGCATCTCTAACCTTGTCTTTAATTTTTCTATCTTCATCTGTTAGTACAGCATCTGGTTTGAATTCTTTAAATCCAGCATTACCAACCCCTTCAATAAACTGAGGTTCTCTGTCTGAGTCGTCTGAAGCTTCATAGCTTTCTGAAATATCTCCATTATTGTGCTAAATTAGGTTTTAAGAATGAGAGTACCTTTCCTTCTTTTGGACCAAATTCTGATCTCTTTAACTTGTCTTGAAAAGTGGCCTTATTCATTAGTCTAACTTTTCTCTCTTCATTGTGATCTTTATCATTAGCTTTTGATTGCTCAGGAGCTGCATCGTTCATATTCATGAAGATTATTTGATTACTTTCTTCGGGTTTAGAATTTGTATGGGTTTTAATAATAGCATCTTTATTAGTGAAATCAATATCCGTGTGGCCTACTAGCCTCTCCAACCTTGCCCTGAGTTCATTAGACATCTCAACTTCATTATAAGACATCCATTCGCCGAGAAGATCTGGGAATAACTCAGATGCTTCATAAACATACTCTTTAGGTACTCTATTTTTCATAGACACATTGTGAAGAATGATCTTAACAATTTCATATTCCTTTTTCTCTTCTTCAAACTCAGAAATATCTGACTGAGCAAGGCCTCAAACTAACCTGTAAAGAACATCCAATTCGATGTCTCTGTAACTACCTTGGTATATCTGTTTAAATCCTTTTGAATCTAATCTATCAAGGTCACCCATTTCAGGAATATTTCCCATAGCTAGATAATTTTATGTAACCGAACAGTCAGAAACGAAATTACCTGACTTATTTAGCTTCGCAGACAGATTTTTAGTTTGTGAAAACTCACTTGGCCCTCAGTCATCTTCCTATAGAAGTTAATGCGAATATCCAGTAAGCAATGATTTTATAAATCATCCTTACATTTAGTTTATCTCTAATGTAGAGAATGTATTCATTGAGGTTCATTCTGATAGGAGCCTTATTCTTGATTTCTTTTATTAAATTTCCATAGAATCTAAATTATTTAAAACAAAATCTGAACTCTGCTTGCTCTTCGGTGTTATTTCTAGCCTCTTGTTTGTTAACAAAATGAGGGCAGATTAATACTTTATTGAGAGAAGTAGGCTTAGCAGATGATCTCTGTGAAGCAGAAAGTCTCACAGTTTTATTCTTTGAGGCAGTCTTTGATCTCTAAAGATCAGAATTCAAGATACTTTTCCTAATTTATTTTTAGGTTTGGACTTCATTATTACTATCGTTTTGGGGAATTTAGGTGTGGGATTTAACAATTCTTTGAGCCTATCTTTTGTCTTGGTAACTTGCAATGAATTTTGATTCTATTTTCTTTAAGTGTACCAATACCTCTTCAGTTAAGGCTGAATCAAGGTAATTTAATAAGCTCTAAAGTGATTATCAAGAGGAATTACTTCATAATTTTTTATGCTTTCATTCTTCATTCCTCTAGCTTCCAATGTTTCACTCTTTGTCCATTGAGCAGATATAAGAAAAGCTATGGATGATTCCCATTGTTTGTTTGCCATTTTCATTGCCTCTCTTATTCTATGAAAACTAATTATTTTTGCTTTAGGATTAGATAAGTTAACTTTTTCTTACTCTTCTTGACTACTGATTCTAGTGAACCTTCCTTGTGTTTGGTCATAAAGTCTACAATAATTTTCTTGCTTTTGGACTAGCTTCTCTCAAATCTGTGTATTCTCTTCACAACTTTTATGAGCTAGAGCAATTGAGGCAAGTATATCCTTCTCAGCTTCTTTATACCTAAATATGAGTTAATTTTTTACTTTAGAAGACTCTGGTATGCCTTTGCTCTATTGTAGAATATTTCCTGCATTCTGGAGGAAGATACAAAGAAATGAAGTTTATCATTAGATGTTATATTTCATTCCTCAGCTCATACTAAAGCTCTGGTGAGATATTTTATGCATGCTTTTGTTCGATTTCACCTATAGTTAAATCTGGGACGTATACTCGCTTCAAATATGAGCAATATTGTAATTTATCTTATATTTGTAATATGAATATTCCATCTCACTGCTTGGGAGGTCTTCCTCTGTATTTTTTAACATTGAGAGAGCAAGCTCCTTCTCATCCATTCTAAGGAGCTCAAGGGAAGTCTCTCAAACTTTTTCGACATAATATTTGAGAAGTCTTCGAGTATTGCTGTTATGTTGACCATATTTATTTATTTAAGCTGTCTAAATAATTTAGGAGGTAAATTTTACTCCAGTCCTCTCGAATAGTTTTAATGATGTTCATTTTATGAGATGTTTCATCAAACTTCTCAGGATGGCCTATCTATTAGAAAGAATCTTACGAGGGAAGGCTTCAACTTTGGTCTTGGTTACAGTTTTATTCTGTCTTCGAAGATGCGGGAAAATGTTATCCTGGATTCTTCGTTTAATCAGCATTTTATTTTATAAATTTAAATTCAATAATTTATGAATACAAAGGGGTTTTGGGGTTTTGGGGTTTTGGGGTTTTGGGG